GTACGAATCGAACCCGGTGGCTTGGCCTTCAAGAGAAGGCGTTGGAGAGGTGTTTTCGGAGTTTATGGGGAAACCGTGGATGGAACGGACCAAGAGGATGAAGAATCAAGAGAGCTATACGCGGGAGAGGATCGATAAAGAAGGAGAGCAGTTGGAGAAGCTGCGTAATGAGAACCGTGAGTTTGCGATAAGAGAGATTATGGTCGATTGTCTCAAAGGGAAGATGATGATGGAGAACTATGAGTACAATCCAAGTGTTGTTCAAGATCTGCGTTCTCACATTGATAGTTATCTCAGTGAGCTAACTTGCAGGATCAAGAACCTTTCGGAGAACGACCAGTCTTATTCTCTCCCTCCTTTCTCTCTTGTTGCTGTTGCGGATACTGTGAATCAGCAAGAACCGGTTCAATATCAAAATCTGAACCAGCAGCACCCGGTTCAATATCAAAATGTGAATCAGCAAGCACCGGTTCAATACCAAGATCCTTCTAAGTTCAATGGTCGTGTTCAACATCAGAATCAGAACCTGAACCAGCTGCACCCGGTTCAATATCAGAGCGTCAATCAGCAAGGACCGGTTCAATACCAAGATCCTGCTAAGTTCTTTGGTCATGTTCAGAATCAGAATCTGAACCAGCTGCACCCGGTTCAAAATCAGAACGTGAATCACCAAGGACCGGTTCAATATCAAGATCCTGCTAAGTTCTATGGTTATCAGAATCTGAACCAGCTGCACCCGGTTCAACATCAAAACGTGAATCAGCAAGGACCGGTTCAATACCATGGCCCTGCTAAGTTCAATGGTCATATTCAATATCAGAATCAGAAGCAGCTGCACCCGGTTCAGTATCAAAATGTGAATCAGCACCCGGTTCAATATCAAAATGTGAATCAACATGCACCGTTTCAGTACCAAGATCCTGCTAAGTTCTATGATCAGAATCAGCAGGGAGTCTATGGTACAAACTCGAACCAGAGCAAGATTCAACAACCGTTGATGGGACATGCAAGCATTCCTTCTATGGACGAAAATCCCTACCGCTACTATCAACTATCGACCGCTGATCTCGCTAGCACCAGTCGCATGCCTTCCACCACCACCGCTAGCACCAGTCGCATGCCTTCCAACACCACCGCCACCGCTGAACATTTTGCTCCTGACATCAACGACTGGTTCGAGTGAACTGTTTGATTGTTTGCATTTGTTACTCCATGACAATTGTTTTTTCATTTGATGTGTTTTTCTTCTTCTTTTAATATCAGTTGTTGTAATATTTAAAGGTTCTGCCTTTAAATTAGTTTTTATTATTATTTCTACATTGTTTGGTACTGTATTCGCGGGTCGTGGCGCGGGGAAATTTAATTCTTTTTGAATAAACTTTTCATAAGTTTCAAAATGTCTCTAAAATTTCAGAAAACATGTAAAATCAATCGATACAGTTGAACAAATGTGCAAATCAAAACGTAAAAAATGGACTAAAAACCTCTACTACATTTTTGTGGTAATTAATATTTGCATCCATAAAAAAAAATCGATTCAAGGGTCGTACTAAATTCGAAAACAATGGTCCAATACATCTGTAAAGAGGGAAACCAAAGCTAGATATCTACTCAAGGCACAACATAAAGTCTCTCTGTCTCTCTCCAATCTCTATTACTCTTTGAATTGCCATTCTCTACGGCACATGGGGCAATGAGCTTGGCTCGTCTGTGAATTAACCCATTTCAATATACAATGGAGATGAAATGAATGGTTGCAAGCTCCCCAAACTACACATTAACCGTAAAGGTCCACACATAAGAACATATCAAGCATCACACTGAGTAGAGACGTGAAAAAGAGAGGAGGAACTTACTTAGAGGGCAATCATCTCCAGGGAGTTTGCAGTCAGGACAACAACCGTCGAATGGCATTCGACATATTCCACATGTCTCGTCTTGAGCATCCCATGTCCATGATGCAACCGCATGCCATCTACAGTTTTCAACAATGTAGGAGTTCATGAGTTGAGATTGAGAGATGCATACAATACATGAACTAGTGTGTAACAAAGGAACTTACTCTGTTTTTCGAAGCCAAGAGACATAGTAGCACTGAGAGTCAAGGAAAAAAAGACAGTTCATTTGAAACAGAATCCTCCTAAAGGCAAGGACATTGAGCTGGTCTTAATCTACCCTATATAAATCAGTTGAGAGTTGATAACAAGAATCTTCATAGCATATTCATCAACATCAATTATCACAACTGAAATCCATGGAAAGAAAATAATTTTAGATATGGTGAATCAAGAAAGCGAAGCTGTATCGATATACATTATGTTTTGAACATCAAAGAAACTATTGATGCATGATAAGCAAAGGAAATGAAGTAGAAGGATACGCAAAATCTTGACTTTCATGGCTTCCTCCTGATAAACAAAAAAAATCTTATATCAGCTTTACAAAACTCAAAACATAATACACAAAGACAAGTTACTAAACACGCATACACGACATAGAACTGAAAATTACCTATAAGATCCTAGGAACCAAAAAAAGACAGATTACAAAACACAAAGAGTAGGTGTATATATCATTTTCTGGCACAAAGGTGCAAGAGTTTCAAAACCAGACGTTAAGATTTAATCATATCAAGAAAACCAAAGAAATCAAAAGAAAATACGATGACGTGATAAAGAGAAACTGTCTCTCAGGCATTTGGTCGAACAACTGGTAGGCCAAAAACCAAACTTTAGAGCATTTGCGTACTTTGAACCGTTGGACTAAATTTATTGAATGGAACCGAGCTCGCTTGGATTCTCAGATATGAAAAAGAAACTCAGTAAAGTAATATCTCCTTCACAGAACGCAATACTAAACTCAAAACCTAATATTATCAAGGTTTGATCGTCTCAGAACATAGACGCAATAAATCCATAGAATCAAATGATATTTGATACTTTCATAGTTGAGATTACAGAATGGAACAGATCATATTTACACTACCGGAGAGGTGTAGCAAGAGAGCGGAAGAAAGCAATCACAAAACTGAAAGAAACAAATAATTTAAAAAAACTCACCGGCGATGACGGAGAAGCGAAATGCGACGGTGAAGCGGCGAGAAGGAAACGGGAAACGCGAATTCATTAACTTATATGGGCCTTCGAACTAACTTGGGCTTTAGATAAAGTTGAGCTTAGGACCCAACCCATATGTGATCTGATTTTTTACATAATTTTGACAGTTTTTTACTTTTTGTATTTAAACAAGAAAATTACCTTCTAGATTTTCATATTAGGGAATAGCTAAAAAAGAAAGAAGAAATAAAATCCTTTTTAGATATCTACCATATCTATACTGTGTACAAACTATTTACTAAATTGTGTATATTATATGCAATATTATCCATATGAATCATATTTTATTAGCTTAAAAGAGATATGTTTTTCCACGTAAGATATGAGTGGGTGATTAACTGGTTACTATTACCAATGAAATCTAATCCTTAACATATATTATTGACATTTGCCAATCAGAATACAGCACCTATATGCCAGGTTGCCAATTATCTTTAATATTTTCAGCAATATTTGGTTATGAACCTGTGACTATACTCCATAATATGAATGCTAAATTTACCTCCAAATAAGTATATTGTTTTCCTGTAATTTGTTTCCATTTTAATATCCCTCAAAAGGTATGTATGATATACATAGATCTATGTTTGTATTTAGATAATATCTATCTCACCAAATTTGATCCAAGCATTGGTGTATAAATATATGTAAACATATAGTCCATTTTCATACAGAAACAAACAAAACACAACAAACAAAACAAAAAGAGTCATGACGAGACAGAAAGTGAAAATGGTTTTCATAGAAAACGACTCAGCAAGAAAATCAACATTCAAGAAAAGAAAGAAGGGAATCCTGAAGAAGGCCCACGAGTTAGCAACTCTCTGTGACGTCCCGATCGGGATAGTCATCGGAAGTCCGTACGACTCGACCCCGGAGGTGTGGCCAACGAGGGAATCGATGGACAAGGTGCTGTCCCAGTGGAAGGCGATGTCGGCGATGGACAAGTCCAAGAAGATGATGAACCAAGAGTCCTTTCTCCGACAGAGGATCAACAAGGCAACCGAGTCCCGTAGGAAGCTGTGTAAAGAGAACAGAGAGCTGGAGATGAAAGAGGTCATGTTCGATTGTCTCAAAGGCAACACTTCTCCTTCTCGTGTTGACCCGAGGAATCTTCGAGATTTGGGTGGTATCATTGAACAGCATCTCAAAGATATTAACCGTAGGATCGATATTCTTAAGAAGAACGATGAGCCGTCTTCCTCCTCTGTTCTTGCTCTTGCTACTCCAACAGCACCTTATGTTATGCCTAGGGTTGAGATGCCGTCTTCCTCTTCTGCGGTTGGATTTTACGATAAGATCCGAGAACAAATTGAAACTAGTATGAATAAGGAGGCCATGAAGAAGGACTTGGATTTGAATCAGAAGCAGTGTTGAGCAAGATGGGTCTGGTGTTTGGAGAACCCTTGTGCGCAAGTGTTTTCATCGCATTTTGAAGCTTTCCTCATTTTAAACTACCAATAAATTATATTTTGTTTTAGTTCTCCATTTGTTTTTGTTTCATGTTTTCATTGGTTTCACATGATGTTGTTGTGTTTTATGTTGAATGAAATTTCATTTTCTATAGTTGATTAACTAATGTTTTATCATGGATATCATATTGTTCTCCTTATCAAAGTATTCATACCGAGGAGTTAAAACTATTTGCAACTAAATAAATAAGCTTTAGATAACACCATCAGAGAGTCGGCCCTCACTTTAAAAAAAGCCACGAGCTTAAAGATAAAATCAACCGTTTTAGTCTTTAGATAAACGCAATGAAAAGTATTAAACACTTTGTGTTTGAACCCATGACATTTTACTAGGTAAACATTTACAACTAAACTAAAATAGGGCCTCAAACATGAGCTTGTTTTGCTAAGCTGGACATAAACAATTGAACATTAGCCCTTGTACATTTCGGGTTTTGGGACGGGAATTGACGGGAACGAGAAAGGTATAAGAAATTTGGAAAATAATATATGCTTCCCAAAGTATCCCTTGTTATAAGGGGACGGGAAATAACGGGAAGGGAATGGAAAATTTGGGATTAGAAAATTAATCCTCAAAACCTTAATAAATTGGGAATTTACAAGAAAATTCGAGAACATATGGAAAAAATCAGGATATTTAAGAAAAAAATTGTCAAATTTTCATTTTTTTTTTATTTCTTTAAACGGGTAATTTGGGATTTCCGCGAAATTTCGTATCCTTCCCGAACCTTCCCTTACCTATTTAAATAAAAAAATCGTTCCCAAACAGAAAATTGCAACTTCCCATTATCGAAAAATTTGAGAATTCTTAAACGGGTAAGAGTGGGAACGGGATTCCCATCCGGAAATGCACAGGGATATTGAACACCATGTTGAATCAAATTAAATATAGAATATGTTTTGTTCAGAAACCTTCATACTAACACCTTACCGAAAATAAAGTTCTTAAATTGAGAATTTGAACTAGCAACGAATTCAGATTCTCGATTTTAAAGCTTTAAATTTAGTTAAAGATTGATTAAAATATCAAAATTGTATTGAAGTATCTAGCTTTTGTTTGATGATTTTTTTTTTTTGAGAATTTGAAGTCGTGAATTGCTTTCATCATATTTTTTTTGCTTTGCTTTGTATTACTACGTTTGATTGTCAAAGATCAACATGTTAGACCTTCACAAACTTTGATTATCAAAGATCAAGATGTTAGTCCTTCACAAACAAACAAAATCAACATGTTACTAACGTCCGTTAGTCAGCATTTAGATTCTTTTTATTCGAAAGAAATTGTTGATCGATTAAACTCACGTGAATGCTGATCTTTCAACAAAAACTTGTGGCAAGATTTTGGTTTTCTTTTTGCTTTTACACACTGTCCGGTAGAATTTTTTATTCCGATCCTTTATTCATCTAATTATTAAACTCCTACGATTCGGCAAATTAAATAGATACCCCAAAACAAAAAGAAATCAAATAGCAGACAAAAAGTGAAAATGAAAATAAAAATATAGAAGAAAAAGGAAAAGAGATTTTAGATGGTTGGTTCTCATACGAAAGACACGAAGGAAGTCATGTCTTGTCTATTTTGACAGAAAGCGTTTCAAAGCCAAATTGATGGGCTTGACTTGATCTTGATCTAATCATGAATCTGTTTCTTCAGAACAATTTATACACAATTATATTGCCTACTTATACTCTAGATTGTCTTTTGTTACTTGTAGGTCTAAGCATAAATAAACCCTACTGAAGAATCTTTACACGAAATCTTGAAATAGAAGATAGCACTATTCGTGGATGATTATGTGTGTGTGTCTTGGTTTGAAAATGTGATGTGTTCTGAACGGATGGTCAATAGCATAGATCAAGAAACTACGTTACTATTCTGGTTTACTAGTAACGAATCTTCGTTCAAAAATTAATGACAAATATCTACAAACAAGGATGTACATCCATCTTTTTGCATTTTTGTGTCTTCTTAAAAGTTGTTTAATCTTACTATCTTTTTGCAATTTTTGTGTCTACTTGCAATATGTCAATCTTTACCATCTTTTGCATTTTAGTTAAGTTGTTTACTATCAAATTCAATTTCTTATACAAGTTTTAAAAATAATAGATGATATATATACCAACTAACGTAATTTGAGTCTCCTTTATCATAAGATAAAATGTAATCCTAAACCGAAAGATAAAACTTACTATATATATTGAATTATGATCCATTATTACATGATCTGTTTGGTAGTGTTAAGAGTTTAGTTCCATTGATGCTCCACTTTAATAACAGTACACCATTTTGAATTAGATACAGCTCAAAAATACTTGTTCTAGGACGAACTCTGATTAAATAATAAAGTGAAGCACCGTATTCTAAATATCTTGTAGTAGAGTCTCTAGACATTGACACTTTCTCAATGCATCAGACCAAAAAATCTCTAAGCATTACGAATTATTCTACTTAAAAGTGAATCTTATATTACTTTCAAATCTAAAACAACTCAAAACCATCCATAGCTAGACACAAAAACATGAATCTCTATGTTGTCTTGTGAACTTCAAGTTATGACCAGACCGAATCCAAGTTACCCAGCTACGATAACTTATTCGTAACATTTCATACCGTTTACGTGAACAAGCTAAAAGACCATCTTATAGGGAAGTAAGCCAAACAAAAAAATTGAGTTGTTCTTTAATTATAACCAAATTCTAGGTTTTACGCATATATATATTCTTTTTGGATACCGAAAAAAGTTCGACAGATATAACAGATTCACAATTTCGCAAAACATATCATGTAATTTTGAAAATAACATGATAATTTTCAAATGCAAGACTTGTGGCTGAACATGTCTTCTGAAAATTAAAACTAATTGTGGATTCTAGTAAGGTTAACCTTTCTATTTTTTAGTGAGAGTTTAATATCTTTCACAGATAACTTCGAATATTTTGACACGATCATTCACAGTGACTTGTCAATTAAAATTTCTTGATTTAAGTGAATCTCTTTCATTTGTTGAGACTCGGGAACTATTAAGAATCCATCCCATAAAAAAAAGTTATAGATCTGACTGTAATTACTAGATATTCTTGTCAGTTTATTTGTGGCCTTACATCATCTAGCATAGTCTTTTGTTGATATAATCTCCAATTTTTTCAGGTGGAACTACATAGTGTACATAAGAAATTAGACTAACGTTGAACCGTATTTTGCCAGACGGGGTTGGTATACTTGATCAATGTAATTGGGTAAAAAAAAAGATGTGCTCTTCGCTCAAGTAAAGAAAATAAAAAATTAAACAGCCAATTTAGATAGAGAGATATTGGCTATTGAAAACAAAACTATTGTTGTAAAAATAATTGGCTAAGAATGGTGAGCGGGAGAAAGAGAGAAAAGCAAAGAATAAATGTACTCTTAGAAATGTACCTTTGTGTACAAACTACAATATATGTGGGAAAATAATACCATCCACATTCCACAGCTGGCTCCAAATCTTTGTTCTTGTTTAACTAATTTCAATAAATATAATCATTTCATAATTGCTAGTTACTAACTTAAATAAGTATAGTAAATAAAAAAAATACAAAAAAAAATAGAAGTAAATTATAAGAAACGTATGGGAACCAGTAAAAAGTTAATAACTATGACAATACGATCAGGTTTTGCTAATATAATTTATTATTATTTCAAAATCATATGTTTAAGAATGATAACCATATATTTTTGTTTTCAACATTTAACATTTTTAGAAAAAAATATTAGCATTACTTCAACATTTGAAAAAGAAGAAGATGTTAAGTATATGTAAATGTATTATGTATGCTGAATTAAAAATATGACACAATTTAGCTTATCAGAGTGTATATATTCATGTTGTATTTGATCATATGTCATCTGGTCATATTTGGAGGATCATTTCTATATAAAATGTTCCAACACTAACGTGCCGGTAAAACGACAGTTTAACAATCAAAATGTTAAAAATCTAAGATGTTGTCTGTTGAATTCATTTAAATGCCATACACTAGTAGAGAATGGTTTTAAACAACATTTCAAACATTTGATAAACAAATTATCTTAAGAACATAAATACATGAAAAGAAGAAAATAAGACAATATACACATATTGCTACAAATTAAATCATTCATTAAATGGCCTTCTTTCATTCATCGTCATGATTATGATGATGGCTACTCGTGATGAGATTGACAAGGAGGGAGAGTTTGGCGTTCGGACTCAGAGACACGAGAGGCATGGAACTTGGCGATAAAAGCAGAAGCTTTACGGTCAATACCTGGCTCAGCCACCCAATAACGTTTGTCCTCGTCACTGGCCCATGCCTTTCTTGTGTAGACGACGTCGTCGTCACATGACTTGTCTGCTTCAACTCTATGAGACGACGATCTTCGTCTTTTAAAGAAGCTGAAGAGCGAGAACCTCTTTCTGCCATTACCTCCCATATTAGACCGAACAAGAATACACCAATATTCAAGAAAAAAAACTAAAGATGTTTTCAAGGTTGTTTTAATATGATGTGTTTGTGTTTTATGTGGAGATGGTAGAGTTCTCAGGTTTTGAGGATGAATATATATAGGGTGACTGACTAAGCAAACCAACTTATTGCGAGGGTTTTTTGGGGTCTGGTTTGGTTCGAATCTTGATTGGTCTTGTTTAGGATTAGGAGTGATCAAACCGAATATAAAGTTTGGTTAAGTGTAGTTGGTCCCACATATTCTTTTTATGTGTCTCTTGTAATTATTTGGACATATTCTTTTATTTCTTCACATTTTGTGTTCTTTTGAAATTTATGCAGAGTATAAGTACATTTTAAAATTAGGCCTTAGGGTTTCCGACTTTCCATCCATTCTCGTACAATTATTTGTTTTCCAGGCTTAAATCATAGTAATCAATGTAAGGAAAATCATAGTAATGGAGATATTATTCGAGAATCTCAAAGTGCAAATGAAGATGAAGAAACGTGGAATCTGGTAATACAATCGGACGGTTGTTCAGGTTTTGTCAGACAACCACAACCTCTTAGTCACTGTTAACTTCGAGGGTATTTCGTGTGTCCATTTTTCATATAAATATTTTTCTTAATTCATCCCCAGTTAAAGGCATCCAAGTTCTCAGTTTCTTTTAGTCTTCTTTTTTTTGGGTACTTTCTTCAAACTTTTTTTATAAGAGTGATCGAATCAAACAAAAAGCGTGTATTGTTTTATGTTTCGCTATATAAACACTACAAAGAACGTATTGTTTTTATAAAAGTCTAAACACGGTAATGTTGCTTTGTTGGTGCTTTCTTATCTTAATATTCTTCGTCTCGCTCTTCAAATTTCAACGAATTAGTGCCAAACTCTACCACTTAATTGGATTCATACGTAAAAATTAGTCAATGTAAATAAAATAAAAGATATGACTAGTGTCACGGTTTTCTTATGGGTTTACAGAAAAACTCAGTTGTATATTTTATGTAAACATATCAATTATGTAGCTTACGGATATATTGAAAACCTTAATTATATGCAAATTAATTACAAATTTAATCATTTTCAGAATAATTAATGATCACATTATTATATGCGTAAATGAACATTTGGAACATGTATGTTCATGTACTATACTTGTGTTGAACATATGGTAAACACGTTAGGATTCAGATACTTAACTAAATACTGTTCGATCAATAGACTGTAATTATAACATTTTAATTTGATTATTTTATCAAGGAACTAATTATAATCTGGCACTCCTACTTATCTGTTCTGAAAAGTTTGAAAGATTTCACGACCAATGTTTATCATTCTAATATTTTCATGAATTGAATAAATATAGTTTTTTTATAAAAAAAAAAAAGAAGAAGAAGAAGTTATTAGTAGAGTTCTTAATCAAATACCACACCCACTATATCTTTATAATTAGAGTGTTAGGCTAGACTACGGTAATTTCATACAATTGTACCAAAAACTCCTAAAAACAATAAATTCAACAATAATTTGGTGGGGTTGTCCAATGATATTATTAACTAAACAGAAAATCAAGCAAGATAGAAGAGGAAACAGTCAAAAGACAAATGAAAAGGAATCTGTCGAAGAATAAAACACCCAAATGTGTTTTATATATATGACAAAGAGCGCTTCTTCTTTCGTTTTCCTTCTTTCCGGAATATATTCAACAGCTTCAAGCTAACATTATAAGAATTAGTAATTAATTAACTAATATCCAGTAGACCTTTTTTCATACAAATATCCTTAATCTTCTATAGTAATCTTCTAGCCTATAAACTGCATAGTTTAAGCTACAATTAAAGCATAACTAATCCACAACCAACAAAGATCGTTATCGAATTTGCCAGGGATAAAAGAAAAAGTTTGATTCGTTTCTGATTTGAATGAGTTAATCTTGATTTTGGAGAAATGAAAGAGAAACATAAATTTAAATCATCATCACACTGATCACACGTCGGAAGATTACCACACACCATAACCGTTTGGAACTAAATAATAAGATTTTCCATGGTTTGTTTTAGGCCCAAGAAGTAATGGGCCTGCAAAAAATAAGCTTTAGCGTCGGATTATTGTTCTTTCTCGCTCTTCGCCGCGCCTCTCTCTCTCTCTCTCTAAAACTCTCAGGTGAGCTTCTTCAATTTTCCTCTTAGATCAAAATCAAATAGTGAGCTTTTGTCGCCTCCAAGGTTCTGTGTTAATCTCAAAGCAAAGAGATTGAGAAAACCTAATTCTAGAGCTTGTAGAAACTCTAGCAGATTTATTTTAGGATTCCAATCGTATTCGTATCTAATCGGCATCGAATTGATCGGTACGACGCAGAAACCCTAATTTCGTGAGCTCTGTTGCAATTCCTCAGAATCGGCCTTTTCACAGTACATTGGGTTTTACGGTGGTATAGCGGAATGGATACTCGTCGTCGTGAAAACAAGACGGAAGCAAGTAGTAGAGAGAAACGGATTTATGAGAAAGATCAGGTCAATTCACATCTCCATTACTGTGCTCTTTTACTGATTTTAAGTGCTTTTGGTTCTTTGCTTATCAATTGGTAACTCGTATAGATGAATCAAGAGTCTTTTATCGAGGAATTAGCAGAGGCGTTTCGATTGCCAATCACACACAGGGTCACTGAGAACGTTGATCTGGAGGATGTGGAGCAAGCTTCACTGGATACGATGATATCGTCGTCTAACGTCGGGTTTCGTCTCCTTCAGAAAATGGGTTGGAAAGGAAAAGGTCTCGGAAAGCAAGAGCAAGGTCTGTTGTTTTTTTATTCGTGTGGCTCCGTTACAATTTAGAGTGATTTCGAACTTGGCTCATTGTTGATACTTGTTGCTACTCAGGCATAACAGAGCCGATAAAGTCCGGAATCAGGGATCGGAGACTGGGTTTAGGAAAGCAAGAAGAAGACGACTACTTCACCGCGGAGGAGAACATCCAGCGGAGGAGACTTGACATCGAGATTGAAGAGACTGAGGAGATCGCAAAGAAACGGGAGGTATGCGCTTCGAAAAACATATTTGCGGCAGTGTGTGTAACTGTGTATTAGCCATATATCTTGGTTTGGTTTGGTTGTTGGTGGCTTTCTTCTACTGCCCGCTTCGTCCCCATTATATGACAATCCAGGTCCTAGCAGAGCGTGAGCACAAGATCCAGAGCGACGTCAAAGAAATCCGCAAAGTCTTCTTTTGTGAGCTCTGCAGCAAACAGTATAGAACGGTGATGGAGTTTGAAGGTCACTTGAGCTCATACGATCACAACCATAAGAAGGTAAAAACAAATACTTAAAAAAACTCTTATTTTCTTGCTTTATAGACTTTTCCAATCCAAGCCTGTGTCTGGGTGTTATGCAGAGATTCAAAGAAATGAAAGAAATGCACGGTGCAAGCGGCCGTGATGATCGGAAGAAGCGTGAGCTGCAGCGTCAAGAGAGGGAGCTGACTAAAATGTACGTTTTGAGCTTTGAAATATTTTGTTTGCGTTGGACTAAAACACAAATTTTCTTTTTTCTTTTTTCTTTTTTAACTTGTTAGGGCTGATGCTCGTAAACAACAGCAGATGCAACAGAACCAACCAGAAAACCCAGAGAATGTCTCAGTTCCGTCACCAGCTACAACCACGGTGGCACCACTTGCAGTCCAAGATCAACGAAAAACATTGAAGTTTGGCTTTTCTTCAAAAACCGGCACTGTATCAAAGGTATATAAATTCAGTAACGCTTTTTATTTACGGGCCGAGTCTAATACGGGCCGGGCTTAAAGCGGGCTAGTACTGAAACTAAGTTTTCTGTTTCGTCTCTGTAGAGCCAACCCACAAGCAGCAACAAGAAGCCAAAATTAGCGATTGCATCGGTGTTTGGCAACGATAGCGACGAAGATTAAAGAGTGACATCATGATCCGGGGATATTGTACTTTTATGTAACTCTTGATTTATGGTTTTCCCTTTCACAGTAAAAAAAAGAACACAGAACGTGGCCAGAGAAAGATCTATACATTTTCAGAAAGAACAACACTGTCACTGTCTTAATTTTCGTTTGTTGATTGTTAAATGAATCTGATATCAATCCGACCGTTGGAGTGTCATCTAGTGTCCCGTCTTATTACAGATGCAATGCAACTGCACCTTTTTTATGTTGTGGCCATTTAACACGTGAGTAAAGTATGCCTGTTAGGTGATATCTTCCCATCACGCGCCATTCACGTGACAAACACAGACAAAAAGCTTTTTTATCTCCTCCACTTTCCCCAATGTCGTCGTGGCACCGCACTTTCACCACTTGTCTTTATCCTCTTTAATAATGGAATGAAAGCAGCCATTTCCTCTTTCTCTCTTCATTTTCGATTTTGATTTTGATTACTCAGAAAAACCTCGTCACAAAAAAAAAAAATCAATTCCCATGGCGTCTCTGTCTCCGCCGGAAGAGGCTGCAGTTTCATATCACCACCGTCACTCTAAACGGTATCCCTCTAACGGCGTTGAATCGGTTTCCGATTTCGCCAAACGACCCAAAATCTCTCCACCTCCGAAACAATCGAGTTTCATTTCTCCCTCCGAGATCGAATCGGAGTTCTCGCATCACGATCCGGACTTCGCGCGGGTCAACAACGGCAGCTTCGGCTGCTGCCCGTCGTCAATCCTCGCTCTCCAGCGAGATTGGCAGCTCCGATTCCTTCGCCAGCCGGATCGATTCTATTTCGACGAGCTCAAGCCCAAAATCTCCGAATCCAGAGCCGTCATCAAACGCCTAATCAACGCCGAGCACGACGACGAGGTCTCCATCGTCGACAACGCGACAACCGCGGCGGCGATCGTCCTCCAGCAAACGGCCTGGGCCTTCCGCGAGGGCCGGTTCGAGAAAGGCGACGCGGTGGTGATGCTCCACTACGCGTACGGCTCCGTCAAGAAATCAGTCGAGGCGTACGTCACACGCTCCGGCGGACAGGTCATCGAGGTACAGTTACCGTTCCCGGTTATCTCGGCTGACGAAATCGTAACCCGGTTTAGAAACGGTTTAGCTTCGGGGAAGACCAACGGTAGGAGGGTTAGGTTAGCTTTGATTGATCACGTGACGTCAATGCCTAGCGTTGTGATACCGATCAAAGAGCTTGTGAAAATCTGTAGAGAAGAAGGCGTTGACCAGGTCTTCGTCGACGCTGCTCATGGGATCGGTTGCGTTGATGTGGACATGAAGGACATTGGAGCTGATTTCTACACGAGCAATCTCCATAAATGGTTCTTCGCGCCGCCTTCGGTTGCGTTCTTGTATTGTAAAAAGTCGAGTAACGGTGGTGGTGGTGGTGATTTGCATCATCCGGTTGTGTCGAATGAGTATGGGAACGGTTTAGCGGTTGAGAGCTCGTGGGTTGGGACGAGAGACTACAGTGCGCAGTTGGTCGTGCCTTCGATTTTGGAGTTTGTGAACCGGTTTGAAGGAGGGATTGATGGGATAAAGAAGAGGAATCATGAGCGTGTGGTTGAGATGGGTCAAATGCTGGTTAAGTCTTGGGGGACTCAGTTAGGTTGTCCGGTTGAGATGTGTGCGAGTATGGTCATGGTTGGGTTGCCGGTTTGCTTAGGAGTGGGTAGTGATTCGGATGTTATGAAGCTTAGAACGCTTTTGAGAGAGAGGTTTAGTATTGAGATTCCGATTTACTTTAGACCGCCGGAGGAAGGAGAGATCGATCCGATCGCGGGGTATGTGCGCATTTCGTTTCAGGTTTACAACAAAGTTGAGGATTATCATAGGCTTAGGGACGCAGTGAACCAACTTGTGAGAGAAGGGTTTAAATGCATGTCTCTAGATAGTTGAATTTTAAGGTACATTATCTAGTCCAACATTCAGTTTCCATATATTACATTTTAGACTCATTCAGTATTGATATATATATAGTTATATGTTTTAGCAGGGAATCAAAGCTTTTCGTGGGGAAGAAACATCCTGAAAGTGATCATGGTTTAGGTACCATGGAGCTTCATGTGATTGGAAGAAATGAAGTAGCCTCTCTAATTCTGTCTTTTCATAAACTTCTTCTTATACAGTAATGATGTATGAGAAGACTTAAAGCTTTCTTCATCGCCTATTTGCTTTTGCTCGATCGAATCGCCTGTTCAAATCTCTCCCATTCTAAATGTCTCCTTAAAACGTTAGCTGGTCGGTAATAAAAGTAACAACGGCATTATTAGTTGTTGCTGGTTCGTTGGTGGATGTGACTATCTTGATGGATCCTTAATTTGTTACGTTTATTAGTTGGTCGAATTCAATTATTTGATTTAGCTCTAATCCAAATGAGTAACGTCTCAAAAGTTAAAAAGCCCTTTTGGCTAGCTCAAAAACATAGAAATGGTAACGTTAATCTGATTGATATAAGTGATTGATAGCAAATAAATCAAACGTAGACTTTTTCAAGAAAATATCATGAACGTGTCGCTAAAACATTTGAAGATACTTAATTCCAGTTGTAATTATGGTCGTTGGTTGATTGATAGAAACGATTCCCAAAATAGTAATCTCTCAGGTGAATTTGTCAAGAAAAAGAAAAATGAATCGCAGGTGCATGTTCGTAAATCTAAACCTTTGACCAAACGTACCAAACTCTAGGTCCCACAAAATAGAATACAACTCAGCTTGACGTGGCACAGCTTTATCCAGTAAATTAAGATAACAAAAGAAAACCGTTACTGGCTTACTGCCTTCGGCGGTTCGGCCTGGCCTCCAGAAAATCGCCAAT